TGCCAGTGAAGGGGGGCAAATGATCAAACTGTGACGCAGAGACTTGCAAATGCAGGCTTTAGAATGTATAAGATGTACTGGCTGACTGATTGGCTGATTGATTCATTTATTTGATTAACTGAATGATTTTGTTTGATTTAGTTTTGTTTGACTTTTTATTGATTTATTAATTGGTTTATTACAAACAGTAACATCATGCACCCTGAATCTAATCTATGCATTATATATTATGTTATGTTGTCAAGTAATCCAAATCCACTTTATCTTTCATGCGTTTTCAAAACATACGCCATTTGAAATGCAGCAGCAGTTATTATTAAGATAATAAAACAAGTAAAAGTGAGTCACAATATATTATCATTGTTATAATAATGTGGCCAAATCTGTAATAGTAATAAAAAGGAAATGATAAAATAACCATATATAAAATGTATTTACTGGCTGATTGATTAATTGATTTATTGATGGATTTTAGTACAGAGGTTACACTTAAAATGCATGGGACGGATGTTGGTCTTTTAGATACTAAGATATTTGAGCAGTAAGGTTATGAATCTAAGGAATGAAATCTCAAAATTGCTCAAAACAGATTTAATATAACACTGATATGTGTTAATTCCTGTTTCCTTTGGCGTTTACATTTGTTTACATTGGCAAATAGATCCAATATGGCAGCAAACTGCCAATTCATGGGTTTCAGTCACGTCACTGCTGCCTGTTTTTGAAACACTTTTGCTCATTCACAAGATATACATTTTATGAATATTTGGTATTTTAAAAGGTTAGGCGATGGTTAGCCAATTCATCACACTTTGAAACCCATGCTATACTCTAAACTAATATAATGCAATGCAATTTGTGTAACTAGATGATAACACAAATAATAAGCATGGTTAATTTCTCATCAGCCAGTGTGCTCTTTGCCAACAACTTGAGTCCAGTGACTCATAAGCAGCTCATTAACTTTTAGGCCATTGGAGGTTTCAGTGAATTTAGAATTTCAATCTCTAAAGTTACACATTGACTCATCAAATATTTGATAAAAGCATGTGTACAGCCATGCTCAAGTAACATTATTTTCTGTTAGAGTAGAGAACACGGTGAGCAAGCGCAGAATGTCAGACCACACAGAGGAATGTTTTAAACGTGTAAAATCCTGCCTCTGAACCACTCACTTCCACCTGTCACAACCCAAACTTCTCAGCTCTGCTTTGTTAACACATATCTGCCTCAACTGTGAGACTAGTGTGCAGCTTTAAGAGACACTGAAGAAAAATACTAAATCAAAATAAAAACAAACAAAAAGCATTACATTTCTGCTTTGTCTAAATAGATGCAATAAAATAATTCTTATAAATAAATTGGTGTATGCATCCCCAGATGCTCTCACTATATAAGGCCCCTAAAGAATAAATGATAAAAGCTGCCTTATACACAAAAGTGCTTTATGCTGTATTGTTTCATGCAAAAGATGTTCAGATAAAAAAGGTCCCAAATGGTCTTTTCCCTGTCCCCATGTTTATTTGTGTACACGTGTTTTGCAACAGGCATAAACAAATTGTTCTGTCTTTGAATTGAGCACCAAAGAATAAATGGTTGAAAGCACATTTCAAAATAAAAGCTCCAGAGTGATTCATTGTGTTTCCAGCTCTGCTCTGTCTGAGCCAAAGTGCTGTGTGCTGGACTGGCCACATGTGTCAGGCTGCATTAGGTGGACCACTGAACAATGGGCTGATCCAGGGGCAGGTGGCGCCCGCTCCTAACTCTGAGAGCCTCTGTGTGTTCATGTGTGTGTGTGTGTATGTGTGTGTGCGTGTGTGTTTGTGACAGGGGCAGACAGGGACAGGTCTGTGCCATCTGGAACACGGGACAATTCCAGGTGAGGCAGAAACTCGACTGTGCGGCTTGCCTGGCCTCTTCCCCTGATCTAAAGACTTTTCAGAGCAGAGACGGAGATTCTATGTTATGGCTCCAGTGACGCTGCACACCAATTCTGACAGTGTGAAATGAGCCATTACGAGGTGTGCTGCTCGACCCCCTCCTCCCCTGAAAGTGGATTGACCCAAAATGGGATCAGCAGGCTCAAGTCAAGTCAGGTTTATTTATAGAACTGTCGTCTCAAACAGATTAGGCTGCCAAGGTAAACAAACCCTTACCTAGCTCGTAGCATGAATTAGGGTTTAATTAACTATGAAAGTAATACCATGGATGTTTTAAAAGGAATCTGTGTGTCACCATTGTTGTTCCACAGTTCTCCAATTCAATACAACTAATACAAAAATACTGTCCTTATCAGAATGTTTTCCTTCAGTGTTATGAAGGTTATCTGAAAAGGATGTACATGGACATGTTGTGATGTAAACACTGTGGTAAGTTCTATGTCATCATCAATAGAAAGAGGATGGGCCTACATAAGGTAGCACTTCTACCCACTCTTTTTCAAACAATTGTTTGATACCTAGTGTACAAATGTGTATTTTTCCCTTGTATTGATGTTTGAAATAAACAGCCAAACAAGTACCACTGCAAATATGTGAAACATAACTGTCAGAGTTAACATGTTGAGTGAAACAAAAGTGCATGTCTGCTTGTCTTTATTGAAATGCTATGTGTCTTAGTTCTTCTGCCTGCTATAATCCTGCTGTGCTTTCTATCCACTTTGAAATGAGTAACACCTGTGATCCTATTCAACTGAATGTTATTGAACATTCTGATTCACATGAGTTTTATGTGACCTTTACCAAACACCAGATTGATTTTAACAAGCACATTACATCAACAGCAACTTGATGTCCTCGCTTTGCCTACTCATATAATGTTACATTAATTTTAATGTTTCAGAGTTTTCAGCAGATTTAATGAAGGACACTAAATCAGATGGGTATTTTTCACACCGAGATTGAAACTGCCAAACCACCAGATATATTAAATGTTAAATGCTCATTTATCTCATTGGTTACCTTAGTAACCTACATAATGAACCCTTTAGTCACTAGGCTGACCTGAAGAGCAAAGCTTGACTTTATTCCATATTCAAAGTCACCTGTGAATTTCAACATCCTGTCCCTGTCTCGTTCAGTGAATAAAACAGAATAAAATAAAGTTGAAACTTGACCTGATACCTGTGACTTTTTGACTACTTTTGTCTTTGACATGTCTTATGACATATGAGGCACTGGGGACTGTAAGAACCTCTGTAGTTTTGGTAACTTTTTAAATTCTACTCTAGAACCTTTTAGTGATGTTATATAGCAAGAACATAAGAACATACAAGTATATGTTTTTGGCAGTGTTAATTTATTATTTATCCTTTAAATCCTATCATCAAAACTGAAAAGAAGAAAGAATAATGTTAATCTTAATGTTCATACACTGTAAAATCCTACCTGTGCCTTCTCTTCACAAAGTCCTGGCCTGCACCCACATCTCTCTCTGATAGGTCTTTGTGAGTGGATCTTCAAAGCCTGGGCAGGTGTCACCCAAGGGCTTCAGATCACTCCAGCACTGCCTCTGTCAACAGCTACACACTCTAGGAACATATTCAAGTGGTAGTTGAAGTTTGACTGTAAGAATAGCATTTGTCTTTCAACCAGAATGTGTAAAATATACAAAAGTATGCATAACAAGTGGATAACAAATTGGATGTTTTGCTCAGAGTACATTAACTATTGCTCTACTCATTTTTACAATGCACTTTATAAAAATGTATACTGTTTGCAAGTCTTCTTCATTCATAATTTGCAATAACTAATTAGCTACTGTAATTCCTTAATAGAAAATGTATTCTGGTCTGTTTATCTTATGACAAAGCTGTCCCCTCATTCTCTTCACATTTCAGCACCCCCTCTCAGATTTGAATTCTGTGCCTGTAGTGTGAATGCACTCTAAAAAAAAAAAATTTTTGTCTCAGTAAAAAACATCCACAATAAAGCAACAGACGTGAGCTCTGGATGTGTTTGTATCTTTTCTAAATACAGGAGTAAGTTGAGACACTCTAGAGTATATTACTTGCTTGTGTCTGAGGGTTGTAATGGAAATAAGCTGATTTCCATGTGCAAATCGCAAGCCCGCAGTTGAGGAAACTACGGAAGGCAATATTCTGCCTGTCAAATTTTAATTAAAAAGGTGAACTGGAAAGGCTATTTGTTTCCCTCAAATGCCAAACCAAATAGTGTAAAAAGAGAGAATTATTGGGAAGCCATTTGGCATAATTATCTTTAGGCCATGGTGAATCAATATCCAAATAATTAGCAGTTACAATTATGTTAATTGGGTAGTGGTTCTATAATTGAAAACACCAATGTGCGTTTACAAAAAAATCACTTATTAATTAGATTTTTAATTAATTGATTAATTTATGTATTTGTTTACACACTTCTAGGTGCTACTTTCTTCATCTAGGTTGTCTGGACCTTGTAAACTTGTCACTCAGTCACAGTGTAGTGAATGAATTTGGCAATGTGAGTAAAATGTCTAAGGACACAGTGTCTGTGTTCTGGGGGAGATTTAAACTGGTAATCTACCAGACAAAATAAAATGCTTAGACTACTGATGGCACCACTTTCCCAGAACAGCTTCTTATGACAGAAGGGGAAATATTATTATGTTTTGAATTAGACTATTTCTCATGTTTGCAGAAAAGGCAAGATATTTGAACAAGGACTCCTTCAGTCCTTCTTTCAGACAAATGGGGTCAAAATACTATATACTGAGAGACTAGGTGTATTTATGCCTAAGAAAAAACACATTCAAAATGTTGTAAATCATCAAAATGTATTTTTAAAAAAGCAGCCAAATAAGGAAAGAATAATAATTTTATATTGAACTGTTCAAACGAGCGCAGAGTGACAATTTTTACAGTGCTCCGCAACTCCTCCTCGCGTCGCCCCGCCCCCCTTTGCCTATAGTCACTCTCATTGGTTGTCCCATTCTGTCAGTCAAATCCATTTGGGCGGGACTCAAACAATCGACTCGTGGTCGGTGCTCAGTGTGGACTGTACGCCACAGCCGACAGTGCAGCGGCAGCATCTATTCATCCATCCATTCAGGACCGTGCGTAACGGAGGACGTGCTGTTGACGAGGCTTTACTACTGCTATACTGCCCCGTCCCATCTACTCAACACGAACCTGCGTGACTATACTATCGCATTCCGTGTGGACATAAGCGACAAAAGCATCATAACGGGGCCGTGAAGTCAGGCAAAGAAGTCCATCTGGATAGCTACAACAAAGCGGTCCGGTTCGGGAACCAGCGAGGGGAAAGAAGAAATCAGAAGTGCGGAGGAGAGAGGACGAGAGGAAGGAAGACAGGATGAACCTCAAGAGTCATTTGCTTTTTACCTTCTACACTGTTTACGTGCTCCTGGTGAAAGGTGAGTGCACGGAGTCGGCTTAATGCATGTGTTGTTGTTGTGTTCAGCAGGGCGGGAATACGGGTCAGCTCTTGCGGTCACTGGCGCTTATTCTTACGCACAGGTGTGTCAGGTCCATTACGCTCAGTTGAAGTGATGCGTGGATGAACATAATTTTTCTCCTCTCACTAGTTCAAAACAACGTAAGCTTCATACAAATATTTATCTCTTTATGTTTTATATGTCCATGCAAACCAACGTATGCCATGGAGAAAGACACGCCTCAGGATGAAGTGAGGTGGGTGAGTCAGAAACCCACTAGGAACGTCTTTTAATGTTGCTGATTATGGATTATATTATTACACCAGAGTAAACCAATTTAATTATTTCTTTACACCTTTTTGACCATTTCAAAATTTACTCACTTTCTATATGTATTGTATCAAAACAAGACTATAACGTACGGAGCTATAATAGTGATTAAAGCGCCCATTCCACCTGCTTTCTGGCTCCCAGCGTGCAGTGGGTTTTGTTGATGTATACAGGCTATAAATCATTGTGGTTGCCATGTCTTGGAGGTAATTGTCAGCTCAGATTGGTTGGAAGCCAGCACGTAGCTCAGAACTGTAAACACACAAGTGACATGACATTGTTAGGGGCAAGGTCAAGGAAAGCCACATGATTTAGTACTTCCTTTTATCCCCTTACACAAATACATAGTGGCGTGTGCTGAATGGCCGTGGATTTCACCTGTTCTGTACACTATGTGCATGACTATTGGGAATGTGGGCTCATGCATTAGGAATAGTCACTAATGAAAGCTTAGGTTCGTAGACTGACTGATCATTAAAAACGTCTTTCCAACCAGGGGTCTATTTTCAGTACAGCGTAGCAAACTTCAAACAAAAGCAAACACGCTCCAGCTTTAGCCGACCCCCTCTACTCCTGCCTCTCCTCCTCCAAAGTGCCCATCAGTGGGTTGCCGATTTAGTCATTTCAAAGTACACTTAAACATGGTGTTGAATTTTTATTTTTAATGATGGTGGTTTTCACATTCCCCAGGCATCAAAGGCCAGAGCGAGAAGCATCTTAGCCACTTTCACTATTTATGTCATTTTTGTTTTGGTTTAGATCCCTGCTTTTAACAGTGTATTTCTTATTAAGCGGCTGAATTACAATCCATGCAAAACTGCTAAAAACAAGACAGTTCAATTATCATTAAAAAGACAGAATTGATTGTCTCAGCTCTGACTGTGGTGTTCCACACAAGTGAATGAGGAATCCCAAATGGGGGATCATTTGCACTGCGTTCCCTTGATCATTTGTTGTTATCTGTCTCAAGTGGATGTGTGTGTTTGTGTAAAAGTGCTTGCCTAATAAGCAGACATGATTAAGATGATTCTTGACTTAATGATTGGGGATGAGGATGGGGATTCTTAAGATATGAAACCAGTACAACAGGAGTGTATTACTGAGGCTTTTTAGACATTCAGTCTGGATTGGAGTCGGCGTGAACTCACTGACCATCTGTTTTTTAACTGTCATCAACATAATATCCAAAGATATGTGGACATTTGGTGTTTTTATACATGAATGATAAATCTTAACTGCTAGGGCTGATAATGACTAAATCCTACAGTGGTTGCTTGTCTGTTAAAATCTCTGTTGTTTACTTTAAGGTTCATAGTTGCTGTAAGCTGTAACTCCTGTGTATGAAGTGTATCAACAAATGAAGTGCTTTTGATTATTGACATTCCTGCAAAAGTATGTTCTGTAGTGGTTATTACTCATATTGGCCACTGTCCAGGGTGGAAGGCTTGTAGTTAATAGGTCATTTTCAAGTTAAATTGAACGCACAATAATACACATCAATTCAAATAAAATAACTGAAATATTTGGTGCATATTACATCTGTTAAAAATGTCACCTTGGTTACCACCTGAAAACATCTGCGGCCTTGCCCCCTGTGTGTCCAAAACCTTTGCAAAAACATAGACCAGCCCACAACATGCGTGTCTTCTTCTTCCTCTTTACCACACACTGTCCGATCTGTTATCAGTCTCGATTGCTTTCTACCTGAAGAGGATAATGTTAGGGTGCTTGATTTGAACAGTCATCTCGCGGTGCAAGACCTATTATTGTATAGGTTCCACACAGCAGGCAGGTCGTCCTCCCCCTGAATCAAGTCTATCCCATGCTTGCTGTTTAGTAAATGACAGCTGTTGTGGCCCCGGTGGCCCTTTGCCAGCTGGCTACAGGAGATCCAGAAATACTCCATCAGACCTGCAAACATGTTGTGATGGGAGCTAGTTGTTTATCCCGGCAGATCAGGTTGTTAACATATTATTGGGTCTTGTGTTTGCTCGTCGCCAAAGCAGCAGAAAAAAAAAAATGGTTATGCAAATGGGGCGGTTACGTAAGACCTGCAGGCAGAGGGGCAAATAGAAGCTTACACAGAGAGAGAAGAGTCAGAGAATAGACTGATGTAAGAGTAATGTAGGAGGAGAGGTGTGGAGGAGGAACGTTCAGCCAATCTCCACCAAAGTGTCCGATATGTTGTTATGGATGAGGGTTTATCTGCACTGCTTCGCTGGCTTCCTGTTGTCTTTGTTGCTGGCGGAGTTTGTGAACTGTGATCTGGCAGGCCTAAACCAGACCACCCGCCGCGACATGTGTTTATCCCTGCAGTGAGTCCGAGCCGAGGAAGGCTGACCCTCCATCCATCTATTCTTCGTTGTTTCTTCCTTTTTCTGACCCATCTTCTCGTCTTGTGCTCAATCTAACATTCTAGTTCTACCGCTACTCCTTCAAAATTTCTACTACTGCTGCTGATACTAGAAGTGCTGTTTTTATTATGTTACAATGAATATTGAATAAGTTGTCCATATTTTAAAATGAAAATGTAAAAATATGTCAAAGTACAGCTATATCAATCTAATCTAGTATGTCAAGAGATTGTTTTCCTCTGACGTAGTTTGAAATATTCAGAATTGTCAGATGATGGATGGATTAAACTGTATGTAACCAAATTTTATCATGTATAGCAAGTGGAGGAAAAAAAATTATTTTTCTTTTTTTCTTTCGACTTATCCCTGCAGGGAGCGAGAGCCACTGACCCTCCATCCATCTCTACTTCCGCTCTCCTCTTCTCCTCCTCTTTCCTCCTCATCCTCCCATCCTGGTGTGGAGCTTTGTAGCACAGCAGCGTGGGAAAGCTTCTGATAACAAGCCGCCTTGTGTGTGCGAGTGTATGTGTGTGTGTTTGCACAGCTACTGATTACACTGAGAAACAAGATGTACTCTCTATCTGGCCCTCTGCTTCTCTCTCGCTCGTATGTGTGTGTTCATTTTCATGGGCATGCTTTGATGGCTACAACATGTGAGGTGTTGAGCTACTCTGCCTTATACCCAAACCATGAATCTTCAATGTGCTACAGCCTCGGTGGAGCATCACACACGCAGCTCAGTGGATCCACCGCCAGCCCTGCCAAGGGATTTCCCACCATCAAAGCAGCTCTTTTGTTAGTCCAGGTGTTAAAAAGTTGGAGTAGGAAAGAGGAGGAGCAGAATCGGACCGAGCTATAGGGGGAGACATGTCTTTTGATGGAACGTCTGATACGACTCTGTTGCACTATTTCTTTGTACAGTAATGCATTAGACAGATCATATGCCATGACTAATTCAATGTATTTCAAGATCTTCCGGCTATGGCTCCTTTTATATTGGTATCTGGAATGAGAAAGGTGGAGGATAGGAGTGTGCAAAAATATAGACATATCAATATATTGTGATTAGGGGTGTAAGAAAAAATCGATAGAGTCATATATTGTGATACTTCATTACATAATTCTTGAATCGACTGAAAATGGATACGAATCGATTTTTAAAATAATATATTTCATTTCAATATTTCTTATTTATATTCACTGTTCTCATGAAAAAAAAAAAAATTATATATATATATATATATATATAACAAATATATATATATAATATATATATATATATATATATATATATATATATATATATATATATATATACATATATATACATATATATATATTTTTCATACAATTGTGTTTTCTTGAAGGTGTATTATTAGAAGTAATTATTGATAAATTGCAATATATCATCATTGTTTTAGTGTCGGGATATATTGTGATATATTGAATCATGACATGCAAATCATGATATGTATCGTATCGTATCGTCAGACTGAAGGCAATGCACACCCCTAAGTGTGATACTAAATCTGGTGATACCGTATCTTTATTGTTGGCTTCTGTATCAATATATCGCAAGAGTGTTTTTTTGATATCTTTTAGCATTTTTTTTTCTAAACCACACTACAAGAAATCTTGTTTATGTATCGTGAGCCATAAACTGTGTACCCTATCGAGGGACCCTGTGATTCTCAGCCTTAGTGGAGAAGTGTATCTCTATATATTTTTTATGATTTTAGCCAACAAAATATCAACGATTACATAAGAGAAACAAGCACTGATTGAGAAACTCATTAAAAAATGTATTCCACTGGTCCTGTGAGTTACCCCGATGAGTGATTGTGAAGATAGTGATTCTTTGGATGCACTATAGCCTGTTGCAGAAGCCTTGGTGAAATATTGGGAGTTTTATCTTCTCACAGAAAAGGATACACCCACTCTTAATGATACAGCACAGACCGAGAGAGCTGCCAGATTTTGCTTTTATTTCACCAGTCAAAGAAATGACAAAGAGATTATAAGCAGAGCAAAATGGCCTCCTCCTTACTCATAGTGTAATGTTTAGAAAGCATGGCCAAGTCTGAAATATGCCTAAAAGCTATCTGTCTTCAATGCGTCTGTGTCTAGATAAACAACAAGCAATAGTATCAGCTGATAAAAAGAACAGAAATGACGAGGTTTGCATCAAGAGTCTGACTGTCACTATTAGAGATCGACCGATTTGTTTTTTTTGTTTTGTTTTGCATGGCTGGTGCTGATTATTTAGAATCCAGAGCAACCGATGGCCAATAAGCT